TATATATATATATCCTCATGTGTTTCTACGTGCGGTCACGTATACTGTTTTTAATAATTTTCAGCACGGTATGGTGACTTGTAAAAGTAAAAATGATGTAAGCTGTAAATAAACATGATTGTTTCAGGCAAGCGTCTTAGCAACGCTGTCTTTTACATATTACATGAAAGAAATGGATTTAAGAAATTGGACAATCCACGAAATGCAAAAAAATCCTGAGAATGCCGTTAATATGCTGATATTTTTAAAACGAATGTATAATTTTCCAGATAGAGGTGACTTTCGTATAATTTACACTAAATGCTCATCTCTTATTGTTATGGTTATATATTCTCATTGTTGTTCATTATCTCTTAAACTTAGACACCGATTTCGAAATCCTCGTACGCCAAAGTTTGAACTATATCTTTCTTGTTTTAACGCTATGGGGTGCCTTCGGTTACGAGAGTTGCATGTCTCGATCTACATGGAAGGTGTTTTTTTTTAATTTTACTGTAGGATCTTCAATACTTGTAATACTTTTTTTGGGAGTAAATTTTGTTACGGTAGGATTTTTTATTGAATTTTTATCCACGCCATAAAAATGATTATTGATTTAATTAGCCTTGCCTACATTTCAGTTGAAGTTACATTTCATAGTTACCTTTGGACTATTCGTGCTTTTTTGGAATGTAAGTAGTTGAATATATTTGCCCTTTAGATGTTTAAAGATATATATTACTACCTACGTTTTAATTCAAGGTGATAATAATGATATTTCTAACGGGAGTATTAAGAGATCCATTTTCATACGATTCCTTGAAATCTTCAATGGAAAATTTGCTGAGTGAAGGATTAAAATACACGAGAGAGGATTTAGATCGTCAAAAATATTTTAACTCTATTATACACAAAGTATATGCGAAAACTAGATGCCGATACATATTTCTTTATTCTGATGTAAGATATATGGTTTTACATTATGAGTAATAAGTATTATAATTTTTATTTAAAAAAAAAAAAATAATAATAATTACAATTATTGAAATAAGTATTGATTATTAAAAGAACAATTTATGTTTGCACACGCAGGTAATGACACTTTTAATTGGGTTACATTTCGTACCTGTCTACATTAATTTTGTGGAACACCAATTGGGTAACAAAACCTTCGACGCTCCTCACGAATTCGTCAAATTGTCAAGTTTAGTATAGTTTTATTTGTTATGTAAATATTTTACCACAAAACTTCAAAGTACTTAAAATTAAAAAAAAAATTTCCTTACAGATACATCACTTGTAACAATAATTATAACGTTGGTAGCATTTTTGTGCATCATATTACAACGACTTGTATTCGTACTCGAGGCCAAAGCAAGACGATATCTTCTGTTGCCATGGTTCATATTTTTCGTATGTCTCGCTGCATACCACTGCTACTTTGGAGTTTCCACCTTTTTTTACTATCCTTGGGAGGTAAATTTTTCTGCGTTGACATAAATTATGAAATAACTCGAGATATATGTGTACTTATAAATAAATGCATGTTTTTTACAGCATAAAAGATTTCTTTTGTTAATATCGAACGGGCTTTTCTTCAAACTCCATGCAAGTGTTGAATAATATTTTTATGTAAGTAACACAATGTTTTTAAAATAATACTTTATTTTTATTGTAGATTGAAATGTGTAAGGGCATGTATCAGTATTACAAATTGATATCGGATGAGCGAACTGGAATTTCGGATGAAAATTCTTATGACCACAATGATTGATCTATGATTGTTAAGGTTTTAGAAGATTTCAATAAAAAATGTATGATAAATTATTGCTTAAAAATGACGTTAAATATAATTTTTTATACAAAGTTTTTTAAAATAAAATTTTATATTTTTATTCTACACTCTGTGTTTTTTCTCTGCAAAAAGTTGTGGAAAACGTTAAACCCCTAGGTTTTGTCAATAACATAAAGTTAACGTATTTAAAAGTTAATTTTAACACATTAATCATAAAAAATACCGCCATTTATCGGTATATCTTTACAATAATGTGGGCCTCTGAATGTAATCAAGCGTTTTCAAGTATCCATGAATACATAAAACTAAAGTTAGAATAAATAACAGTTGCTTGAACACAAAAAATATATTTTTATTTTAGACCTCCTTCACTTTTAAAGTAAGAAAGTATTTACTTTATAAGCTTTCACCTTAGTTAAACAAACAGTTAGTCAAATCTCGTTGTAAACGAGTGATCTTTTTGAAGTGGTTTTTACGAATTGTTCTTATTTTTTTCTGAAAAACGCCGCCAAACAAATGATTCCAAGACACAAGACCGGAAGCATAACGAACATGACACCTATCAAAACTACGGGAAATATATTATTAACTCGTTTCTTCAGGGCCGAAAGGCAGTTTTCCCGCAAGGCAAGCGTGCTGTTCGAGAATCCAGTTGTATTCGAGCATATTTGGCTTCCTAAACACTGTCGTTTGGCCACTTTTGTCTGTACATAAAACAATAAAATATAAATATGGTGAATAAGAAAAAAAACCACCTGCATGTATTTCATTAAATGCGGATAAAACATTATTCGAACCCACGTTGATTTTCCATTTAGCGAGCCATTTTTTAACTTCCACGCATTCACAGCCCTCACCGAGTATGTTCGGGCTGTCGTCTACAATTAATTTCTTGAGAGAGCACATTGGGGCCAAATCATCGATGTTTATTTTTCCAATTCGATTTCCAGTCAAGTTCATCCGCACCAGTTCAAACAGAGACTCCAATCTTGGCATCCTCGTCAATTCATTCTGACTCAAGTCTATGTACTCAATGGGTGCGGTAACTTGTATCGACTCGAGCTGCACATCTTTTAGTTTATTGTCTCGGAGTTTGAGCTTCTGCAGCTTTGGGAGTGCGAATATCTGAGCCAAGTCCCGTGGTATATAAGAAATTTTCAGGCCTAGGAGATTCTCCGAGAGGTCGAGGATTTTCAGCTGGCGAAGAGGTTTGAAAGTGGCTTTTTCGATCCCGAGTATGCCATTGTCCGAGAGAAAGAGCTTTTCCAGCCGGGAATAGTCGACGAAGGTATCGTTCTCAAGAGTGCCGATATTGTATTTTGGGGTCTTCAAAAACTACAATGGCAGAGTGTTAAAAATTGTTCTTCCTTATAGGATATAGAGTAATAGAGAGGTACGTACTTTGATTGTACTTTTTTTTTTTTTAGGAATCTCTGAGAGTTTGTAGTTGACCATTTTTATGTTTCCATCACTTTTTATTGTGTATCCGTTTGCATTGATAATTATCGAGACGATCATTAGATACATTAGACGCATTTCTGGAATACAATTTTTTTTTTGTTAAATAGATGCAAACTTGGGCACAGTTATTTTGATGAAAAACGCGAAATTGAATAATATCTTTTATACGTAGATAGTAAGCAAAAAGTTATAATAAAAAATCTAGTTTTGTAAGTATGCATTTTTCGTTACTGTAATGTGGTTAAAGATTGCTGAAAAAAAAAAATTCAGTAATTTAATCCAAAAATTAACCCTATTTTCCCCAGATAGTTGCACAAAATAATAATTGTGAAAAAACGATATCAGCTTTTCTGTACATATTTTTTTGGAGGGGATTGCAGATCAGACTCGCATTTTTCACGTCTGGAAACTCGTTTCATCGTTTGTATCAACACATCCAAGCCGGCCTTTAATTTTATTAATTAAAAACAAAAAATACAATTAAAAATGAGCCGAAATTCTTGTTTTTGTTCAAAAAAAAGTAACAATGAAATGATTAAGTGCAGTTTTCGAGTAAAAAAATTTTCTATTGGCAAATAAAACAATGAAAACTATTGTCAACTATATGAAATTCACGCTGGGAGAGCCAAGTTAATTTTCGAATTTTGGGGGTCACGAATAGGAAAATAATTGACACCTATGTGTGAATATTTTTTAAATTTTTTAATCAGTTTTTCTTTCGCCTACTACTCCTTTTATTCACAAATATTTCTCGTACGTTACGCATGGTAGAGTCACTAAATGATCATCTGATTCCTTCTTTTAGAGCACTTGTATATTTTCTCCCTTTTTCTCTCTGAAATGTATTTGTCATATTTTCATTATAAAACTGGAAGACACCGATGTATTTATAGTAATGGCACGTACTCTTAAATTCTAACAAAAAATATGCACTGGAGCTATTATAAACAAATTCCGAAATATATATTATACTAGATTTATTATCATTGTAAACTTTTCTTCTGTTTTTCAGCCAGTTTATGATACTTGAAGCTCAGTTGGTATGTTTATACGTAAAGCGGAGACTGAATCCTAAATAATATATGTAAAATTTTGACAAGTCGGGCAAAATTTTAAAAATTCAAAAATTTCCCAGAATTGTTTTTAAATTATACCCCGCTTAAACAAGTTGGATGCTAGTTGGATTAATTTTATTGCCTGGTAAGGCTAATCGCAAAAAAATTAATTCTACAACTCCCTACCCAAGAATTTTGCATCACTGTTAAGCTGAAGGCTCATACACTTATTATTATCTACATAATCGAAAATGCAAAAACACATGGACGAGATGACAGTTATAACCGTTCATTTAACTGATAAGGATTCACGTACCTTCAAGAAAATTCTGCTGCTACCTATTGTATTTACATTTACGTTAACTGTCCCCATTACTTTTCGATCTTGAAAAGGTTGAAAAAAAAGTACCCTTAACATCATAACTCAACCTGTTGATACAAAAGTACAATTGTTAATATATTAACATATTGGTCCTTGTGTATTGATAACAACACAGTTCTAAAATATTGCTAAATCAAGGTAATGACATTTTAAGGCCCTCTTTTGTTTTTTTTGTCTCAGGCCCACGAACTAATTGGTCCGATTTCATTTTAAAACCTGTAGTTACAAAAAAACAATTCATATTCTGTTGTACGCGAAATGACTCAATTCAACACATAAGGCATGGTTTTTTTGTAATATCGCCCACGTGCATATATAGGTATTTCGTTACGGCGCGAATGAGAATGTAAGTATAACATATTAAAACTGCAGATTTGGGTTGTGGGGGGGAGGTGAGGAATGTGAGTCACTGAGGAGTTGGGGACATATTCATTCGAGCTAATACTAACTTTGTCGGCATACAAACATAACAGTTGATAAGAGGGTAATGCTATACATTCCAATAGTGTAGCTAAAATGTGTACTCATGCACACTTCGTCACGAAGCTTTCAAAGACGAAGTTATAAGCAGTGAATCAGGAGGACTTCGTGTCAGGGTCAGTTTCGTTGGAAAAAGAGTAACTAATTTGTCTCTTATCGACTCACGTAGTGTGTAAATTTAGTAAGGACGTTGACAAGTTTTTACGTTTTAAATTTTTATTTTAAAAATACATGAATACGATAGTACGTCTTTGGTGCAAGTGAATGGCGAGTCACTGAGTTATATTTATGGGATATAGATACGCTGTCACATTAGTTTGTTGTTTCCGATTTTCAAAATGGACGTGGAATTGAAATGGTACTTTCAGCGATATAGTAAGCTCATGTACGCATCAGCAAACAAGTATTTGGCTTATTACACAGGTGTAAGTAGATATTTTTCTACCATATATTTTGATTTAAATCTTTTCGGCCAGAGGTACTCGCATCTCGGGAGGAAAAATAAAAATTGTACGGTAATAGTATATTGATAACTGTGACCTCTCATGCTGGTTACTGTCGTGTCACCACCTTTTGTTGGAAAGTTTATAGGGATATATATATNAAAATTTTATCATTTTCGTTGACCTAATTAATAAAGTAAGACGCAAATACTAAAAATTTTTTTCAAACAAAGAGTACGTGGAGAAAAAAGGTACAAGAATTTTTACTCTGAAATCAACGATAAAGTTGAGATCACGTAATTATAAATTTTAAGACGGTTTATAATAATTTTTTTGCCCTAGTAAATATATCTTCATTATCGACATATTGTAGATATTTCACGTCGTCTTTTTCAAGGTAAAAATCACCGCAGATTTACAGTGATAACTACAGATAATAAGTACGGCCAAATAAACCAAATTTTATTGCAACAAAATTATAATTTTTACACTTGTTGAATGCGCACCAGACATAAAAAACATTTTTTGTGTTTATTTGAAATACATTTAAGTCATGGTTTTTAAATTAGAGCTCTTTATTCATAAATACGTACTAAACTTGTACAATGTTTGAAAAATTTTCACAAAATACATTAGCTTACAAATTCGTTCACAAAAAATTTTCATTCGCCTTCAATTGTAATGCAGCAACATTAAACTCATTAATACAGTTCATCGAATTCACAATTTGAATGAATTACCGCGCAACATTTTTACAACAACCAATTTAAATGCATTGGGCCCTACCCGCAAACTAACTTTAAACTGCATAATTTATACTTGGCATATCTCATACTTAGCATTCAGTAACACCTAGAATAAACAATAGTTGGTGAATGCCTAAACGGTTTCTCTACATTTTTGCACGAATAATCGCAAATTCCAACGTAAGCAAAAGCGTTTGACTTGCCATTTTTTTATAACACCAGCAAATTCGTTAAAAATCGAGTAAAAAATGAGAAGTTATGATTGTTTTTTGTTCGAATTAGTGATTCAAGTCGTATTGAGGTAGTTGAGGTGATGGTTATGTACAGTATAGCTATTAGCGGTATTTATACATTGTCAGTCGCTATTAACAATGTAAGCCTGAGATTGACTCCTTTTTCCCTTTACATTATA